TCTGTCAGAGGGACTGCTGGGTTCCTGGTCTCCTCCCTGAACGAGGCCCTTCTGCCCAGTTACTCAGTTTGGTCAGATACTGACTTGAGGAAGAGTCCTGCTGGTTTCAGACTTTTTCCACTGGGAACACTCAGAGCTTTAGACATTGTTTTATTTGCTGTCCTTATCTATGCCGCACCCCAGTCTGTGCCATAACGAGGTGCTTGGTTTGTGTCCTGACATGCAGTGTGAACTGTGGGACCTTATATACATACGTGTGTCTTTCTAAACTGTCCAGTCAGCTCAGTTTGCCACAGGTGGACTCCAGTGAGGAAGCACCTGAGCACAGTGTGAAGTCACAGCAACTACGTACAGTACGCGTGTGTTTACATTTGGTTGCTCTTGGTGCTTTGACACGTCTGCAAAATGATGAGAGGGTACCAAACATGGGATAGCAATCGAGTCGAAACTCTCAGACATCTAAGGTCTCAAATTAGCATCGGGCTACTGACAAACACAGGGATAAAGGATGTAGATTAAGAGCTGATTAAAGGTCACAGCCACTGGAAATTACAGGCCTGGTGCAGTCATGTTGTTTTCCATGTCAGGCTAGTCTGGAAGGGCTCGGACCTGTGGCTCACCCTTCAGCTCTGGTTAGTGGTGAAAGTCCAGCAGCCAGAGGAGACAGGCTGCAGCTCTGGTTAATAGTCACATCCGGGCCAGGCGTGTCCTGGTAAATTTGTGGCAGATGTTGGTGAATTTGGATGCAAGCGGAGGGGAATGCGGCATCAGGGGGAGTGTGGCTGCTTTGTATCAAACTGTGGAAAGCAGGAGTTAAAACAGCTTTTCAGGAGCTTACCTATTTCAGAGGGTTTCAGTCCCCTAATCTTATTTCTTTTAGCCACAGATCTTGAACACTGAGGCATTGATTCAGTAGAAGAGGAGAATCTGGTTGGTGGCCTGACCCTTTAAGTAAAGCTAAGGCTTTACCTAACAGATAACATACTGCCCTTGAAAATGGCACCTAACTTTGTCCTCTCAGGTGTCACTCTCATTCATGTTGACCATGTGCTTACCACTGGTACTCTGCCTGTAAACCAAGGCTCAGTGATGGGAAATACTTTAAAGTGAGAAGAATCAAACTGGCTGCAGTAACACTTACTGTCTGAAAATCAGGCACTCGGCCTAGATGTTCAATCAGTGCACATGCACAAGAGAAAGCAGGCAAGGCAGATTTAGTGTGAAACGTTTCCTGACTCAGAAAAAGATGCATGTTAATAATTATTCTTCATTTTCTCCAA